TTGGAAAGTCCCTATGACTTGGTTGACAACGAATTGTGAGTCGCATTGGAGAATGACCCGTTATGCTCCGTACTTGAGAGCTAGCTTTAGTCCTGTAATTATGGCCTTGTACTCGGCCTCATTGTTAGTCATATAGGGGCAGTGTATGTACTGATGGATAACTTCGCCTGTTAGGACCTCGAGTACGAGTCACAATCTATATCCTGACACGTTGGAAGTGCCATCGTTGTATAGGACCCATAGGTCGGGTAACCTGAAAGAGGTACGAGAAGTTTCCTACTCGACTTCAAGCATTATTTTGGCACTGAAATCGGCGACAAAGTCGGCCAATACCTATGATTTTATTGTTGTTTGCGGCTATATGTTATATTGTGCTCGCTCAATTCTATGGCCCACTTGGCCAATCTCCCCGACAGTTGGGGTTTATATAGGATGCTCTTTAGGGGGAAGGTCGTGACCACCTATATGGGGTGACATTGAAAATAGGGTCTAAGCTTTCGTGAAGCTATGACCAGTGCCAATACCAACTTTTTGAGGTGGGAGTACCTTGTTTCGGCGTCAACCTGGGTTCTGCTAATGTAATATATTGGAGATTGCGTACATTTGTTTTTACGGCCCAATACTGCATTTACTGTGACCTCTAATACAGCCAAGTATATCAAGAGGCACTCGCCGGGTTCTGCTTTGGCGAGTAGAGGGGGAGAGGACAAGTATGCCTTTAGTTCTATTAAGGCCTTGATGCATTCTGAATTCCACTGGAGTCCGGTGTCCTTTTTAAGCATGTTGAAGAATTTGTGGCATCTGTCAGAGGATCTTGAGATGAACCTCGACAGGGCAGCTATACGATATGTCAGTTTTTGTACCTGTTTCTTACTGGTGAATACTTCAGGTATTCCCTCAATGGCTTTGATCTGGTCGGGGTTGACCTTGATGCCTCTTTGTGACACCAGAAAGCCGAGGAACTTGCCCGTGGTTACGTCGAAGGCACACTTTTCGGGGTTCAACTTCATGTTGTATCGCCTAAGTCTATTGAAGGCTTCCTTCATATGGTCTATGTGGTCTTCCTTCCTTTTTGATTTGATTGACATATCATCTATGTAAACCTCCATTATTTCACCGAGTTGGTCCTTGAACATCTTGGTGAGCCTTTGATAAGTCGCCCCTACATTCTTCAACTCGAATGGTATGACTCTGTAGCAATACGTCCCCTGATGCCTGATGAAAGTGGTCCATTCCTGGTCCTCCTCCTCTATGAGGATTTTGTTGTAACCCGAGTAGGCATCCAAGAAGCTTAACAACTTGTGCCCTACCTTTGCATCGATGAGTTGACCGATGTGAGACAACAGAAAGGAGTCTTTCGGGCAGGCCTTGTTTACGTCCGTGAAATCCACGCACATCCGCCACTTTTCCATTTTTCTTTTTCACCATGACCACGTTGGCAACCCTTTGAAGGTATTTTTGACTCTTGGATGGAGCTGTTAGCGAGTAGTTTATCCACCTTATCACTGATGGCCTCGTTGATTGCGGTGTTGAATTTTCTTCTTACTTGTCGCACTGGCAGGTAAAGTGGGTCGACGTTCAACTAGTTTGTGGCAATGTCTTTCGGGATACCTAGCATAGCTGTGTGGGAGAAAGCAAATATATCGGTGTTGTTAATTAAAAACTTATGAAATTTACCTGGTTCTGAGAGTTTATGGATGACGTAAGCCTTTTTGTTGTGGTTGATGGTGCCTATCTGGACGGGGTCGAGGTCTTCTACCGTTGACCCTGTGGCTTCCACGACGTCGGGATCCTTGATGACGTCTTCTTTTTTGCTAAGTTCGGACCAAGACTTTGATATTTTTTATGCTTCCGAGCCTATTCTCTTTAACTATTGAGTGTATATACAATCTTAGGCGATGCGGTAGCATTCTTGGGTTGTGCGCTATTTGCCTCGGATGTTGAATATTCCCCACAGAGTAGGAAACTTGATAACTTAATATAAGATGGACGGGATGGTCCTCATGGCATGTATGCAAGGTCTCCCTATGATGGAGTTGTAAGTTGTGTCCTGGTTCATGACATAAAACATTGTTTCTAGGGTAACGCCCCTGGCCAAAACGAGCAATGTTATTTCTCCTGAGGTTCACTCAACTGCATTATTAAAAATTATTTGTGTTATGCAGCATGGTACTATCTTCTCCTCGAGCCTTATTTGTGCGAGAACTAGAGGGTGAAGAATACACGCACCGCTCCCGTCATCTACCATTATTCTTTTTACATCAGCATCTAAAATACGTAAAGTAATGACAAGAGCGTCGAATTGATGAAGGGTCAAACCGTGGGTATCTTACTTATCGAAGATGATACTGTCTTCGAGGTCATCATACCGTTTATGGGTGATCGACCGCTTAAGTTTATTTGTGGCTTCACGTGATTGATTGTTGTTTCGTCGCCTCCGCCATGATCATTTGGCTGGTGGGGGAGGGGGAGGGTGGATTTGGAGGGCCTTGGTTTTGCTCTCGTCCGCAACCGAAGTTGGATCTTCCTCGGTCGCTTATCAGCTCCCTTAGGTGTCCTTGGTGAATCATGTTCACCACTTCTTGCTGCAGGGCTATGCAGTCTTCAGTCTTGTGACCCCGCTCCTGATGAAACTCATAAAAGGCATTCAACTTTCTGGTACTTCGGTCGGACATCATCTTTTGTGGCCACTTCACCTTTGGGTCGAGCTTCTCTAGTGCGTACATTATTTCTGAAGGGGAAAAACAAAAATTGTGAGTAGATAAGAGTGAAGGCATACCTCTTTCATTTTGCTGAGTCCCCGTATGTGGCCTGGATGACCCTTCAATATGGCGAGGAGATGGTGGGATGGCCATTCTGACATATGGTTGGTGCGTGTCCCGGTTGAGGCGTGTGCCTACATGGTCTCTTTGGCCATCACTACAGCGGTCTTTCCTCGACTCTGTTTGGACTGACGTTAGCTGTTGGGTTGGACTGTTGAGGTCATCCTCGTCTGCTCTCACCTCGGCGCAATCGGCGATGTGAATTTCTTCCCAAGTGGTGGGAGGATATTTCATGAGTCTGCTTAATAACGTTCTGGTTGCCCTTGACCTATTCCTGTTCAACCCATTTTGCAAAGCTTTCACCGCTATCCCTTCTGATATGTTTGGCAAGCTCATTCTTATTTAGTTAAACTGGGCGAGGAAGTCCCTGAGTCCCTCGCCAGGCTATTATCTTACGGCAAATATATCATTCACCTTAGCCTCCGCCTTTTTAGCCCCAGCGTGGGCGGTGACGAACTTGTCGGCCATTTCCTCGAACGTTCGTTATTAAATGTGCTGATAATTGTGAGTACTATGTTAAGGATCCTCCTGTTAGGGTTTTGCCGAACTTCTTCAGCAACACTGATTGTACCTACTCTTTTGAGAGGTTGTTGCCTTTCACTGCTGTGACGTAATGAATGATTTGATCTTCGGGGTATATTGTGCCATCGTATATATTCAAATATGGTGGCATTTTGAAGGTCTTGGGCATGGTATGTGGGGCTGCCTCCTCGCTGTATGGTTGTTCGACGAACCGACCGACATCCCGTTTTGGTCGCAGTTTCGGGGCACCCAGTATCTTATCAACCCTTTCTTGATGCTGCCTCATTTGGTCACGGAGTGCTTTATTCTCGTTCTTTATTTCTTCCATTTTCTTCAGAATGGCCGCAAGTGTGTCATTAACTGCATCAACAGTGGTTAAGTGTTACATGTTGGGAGAGGCGCGGGAGCAGGTTTTTCATTGGCAGTTGATGTGGTATCCGCTCGTGCGGTGCTTCTACTCACCCCTTGAACGAGTTTGTCAAGTATGTTGTTTAGGGTACTTGTCAACAATGTCTCCAGTAGTTTTTTAATACTGGTGGCGCTTTCTCAGTTGTGGACATAGAGGCTTCCCTTTCGCGTGAAGCGGTTACACTTCCACGAGGGGGAGGTGAGTCGCTCCGCCTGGGTGTAGCACTTGGCGTCACATTCTCCTCGTCTTCTCTGTCAACCTCGTTGATGGTTTTCAAGAGGTTGGCAGTGACGTTCACTACTGCTTTCAGTCTTTCATCTCCTTTTCATGCCATTGTTAGTTCGTGCAAACGAGAAAAAGATGGCTATTGCCGTTTTTTTATCTAGAAGAATCTAAAATTTAACTAATAGTTCCCCACAGACGGCGCCAAATTGTTTTACCAAAAAAGTGCTAAACCTTTTCTTAAAATGAATTAATGAGAATGTCACACCTCCTTTTTCATTACACCCCGGAAGAGTATGAATAAAGGGAGTTTTTCCAACTAAAGGACAATCGAAACGGGATTTATTGTTAAAAGATTAAGAGTCTCCACTTGGGAGTTTTATGGTGTCCCAAGTCACCGGTTTTAATCCTGAATCGAGGAAAAGTTTGACTTTGTTTAACAGTCCGCGAACCAGAAATCCGAGTAAGGAATTCTGTTAACCCGGGAGAAGGTGTTAGGCATTCCCGAGCTCCGTGGTTGTAGCGCGGTCGCTCAACTGTTATAATCGGCTTAATTATCTGATTTTAGAACATTTGAACCGATGTGCAAATTTAACCTCTTAACCGCTTTTAACTTATTTAAAGAATTAATTCAAGGTCATTTAAAACATATCGCAAGCCACACCACATGAAATGCACCCGTGGTTCACGACACGCTCTATTTAACCTTGTTGAAAATTAGAACCGGGTCACATGAAATGCACCCCCGGATTTTAACATGCTTATTTCATTATTATTATCCAAAATTATGGTAGGGTCACATGAAATACACACCCGAGCCCCTTTAATCTAATTGACATAGTTCAACAATCCAATTTCTATACTGTGACATAATCACATTCAGCTATAACTAATTCGAGTAAACACGAATATATAACCTAGCAAGCAAATTCAAAACTACGGAGAATAATTACAGAAACAACAGGGTGGCATCACCAAAAAAATAATTAATTGCATAAAACGAGTAAAGGATGAAAGAGTCGAACCTCAATATAGTCGGGAAATTGATTGTTTCACTACTTTGAACTCGAGATGTAACGAATCGCAGACGGGAACCCAAATTGGCACCAAAAATCTAAAACCGGCAATGAACTCGAATCAACCTCGGCTAAACACCGTTCCTATACTCGAATAACCAAAAATCAGAACCAAATGATGAAGCAGAAACATCTTCGTCGACAGATTCAACCTTCAAACGGAACTCCGAATCAAATATTTCAAACCAACTCCATCGTCGAAATCAAATTTAACAGAAGAAACCCAATGTGTTTTTTTTTTTTGTATTTTTTTTTTGGATTTTAAAATCTCATAGTACTAATTGTTATATTTAAACTAAGAACTAAATATGAAACAGAATGTTCGAAAATCCCAAAAAAGAACCAAAACAAAACAAAAAACGTTTTCCTCCTTCTTCAAATTTAAAAATGATTTGCTATTGTTCTCCAAATTTTCCCTTAATCATGATATCTCTACAAGGTTTTGAAGGTTTTTAACTTACTTCAGCATCCAACGATCAATGTTCTGCAAGCTGACTTTTGACCGGGGAAATGGACAACAACAAGAAACTAAACCGGAACCAATATATGGTAACAAGAAAATGGGACGACGACATCGACCACTTCTCAAACCTCAATGATTAGATTACTTTGAATATTCGAACAACCAAACATATACAAGGCTTCAAATCCAACATCCAGTCGAGAAAATAGCAACAATTCAAACCCGGAATCGCAAAACTCGACTCGAAATCGCACTCGAAACCACTCCGGACAGCGGCGATTTCAATAACCTCTGCTTGACTCCATAGTTTAAGCTTGTCTCGTTCTCCTCACTGTTTTCAGAGATCCTCCTCTATTTTTCTGTTGTGTGTGTGTGTGATGGCGTGAGCTGCTATGGAGGGTCGTCGTTGTGGAGGAGAAGGGGATGGTTTTTGGGTGAGTTTGGTGAAGGGTCGTGTGAAGACGATGAGGTCAGGGGGTGGGGTATGGTTTGGTTTTTTCGTTCTTTTCGCTGAAGAAGTTTCAGAACGAGGGGGGTTGAAGAAGAAGNGTAGGCTAGGTCCAAAATAAGGCCTAAAAATGGGTTGCTCAAGTTCAAGTTCTATCCTTTCCCTGCAAACGCGATTAAAAATACGGTCCCATTTATTAATTAATCCTACTATTCAAATAATTATTAGAATAAAACTAACCATTAAAACAAATCTATTTTTGGTATTTTCAAATATCATATTAAAATAAAAATGAGATACTGTTTTTTGTATTTTTTTTAAGATTAAAAATGACTACAAAACATTAATGAACCTATTTGTTTTTGTAATTTTTGTTTTCTTGTAATAAAATAAAGTCAATGAGTCAAAATTACTTAAAATATCTATATTATGCCTAAATTAAATATTTATGTTCTAAAATATAAAAAATCTTGGGGAGGGTCAAAAATTACATGTCTACAACTGCCCCTCTTTGCTGGAAACATACAGAGTTTTCAGACAAAGACTGACTAGACAGGTTTTTGACACGACCCTTATTTGGAGAGGCTAAAACTGAGAGAGAGGGGAATGTGACCGAGCTCTGGTATCTGAGCTGCCTACATATCCTTGGCTATAAAGGAGTCAGGCCACGTATAGTTCAGAGATGAGTGAAATGATGGAGTAAGCCGAGGTGGAGAGCCGGTCGAGGTGTCGTTCCGTCGAGGTTCTGGTCCGCAGTCCTGTTATTACATCAAAAATAAAAACATGAAGAAGACTAGCTAAGTCTATCAACTACGAGTTACAAGATTCCTATCTATAAGTCTTTTGAAGCTTGATCTTGAGTCTTGAATGGTTCTTTATGCAGACTTTAGATTTGAACCTTGGTGCTTGCTAGTTGCAGGTGCTAGTTCATCCTTCTTCAGCTTTTCGGATCAAAACTAAGTATTCAATGCTTGTGACCTCGGCCATGTTTTGAGCAACCCACATCTTTCATCAACTTCTGCATTTGGATTCACTTCTTGCCTTTCTTTTTTTCTTTATAGTGACTAACTTCTGTTGATCACCTCGGACTGTTGACTCGCATTCTTGCCGCGAGATTCTTTGGTTGCAGACTTGAATTGAAATCTGAGATGCTTTTCCTTTTCTTCAGGTGGACGCCTGACTGTTGAACTCGAACCGTCTTCTCTTGTTACTTGATACTGTGTTCCCTTGCACCTTGAACCATTTTCCCCTGAAACTTGAACTGTCTTCCTTCAAAACTGCTTTCCCTAGAAACTTGAGTTATCTCCCCTTATTCTCCAGGTGGGCGCCTGATTATAACAAAATAGACAAAACAAAGAAATGTTTCTGCCCCAGTTTGCACTAGGAAGATTTGTGAGTTCTTAGCAAAATTGTAAGCCACTTGTACTATTGATGCAATGATGAAATTAAACTAAAGAATAGACTAGGAAAACTGTAAACTAAGCTTGACTAAAGTAAAAACTGACCCTATTCTTCAGGCGGGGCCCCTGACTGCTAACTTGAAATGTATTCCCTGCTCTCCAGGCGGGCTCCTGACCGCTGAACTTGAAATGTATTCCTTGCTCTCCAGGCGGGCTCCTGACTGCTAACTTGAAATGTATTCCCTGCTCTCCAGGAGGGCTCCTGACTTCAACAAAATAGACAAAACAAAGGAAATTTTCTACCCCGGTTTGGTGGCTGGGCACAGATGTAAGTGTAAAATGGATCACATTACCAAATATCAATAAGAACTTGAAATCTAAAACTTGAATTGTACTCCCTTGTTCTCCAGGTGGGATCCTGATTGCTGACTTGAAAGTATTCCCTACTTTCCAGGCGGGATCCTAATTGCTGACTTGAAAGTATTCTCTACTTTCCAGGCAGGCTCCTGACTTCAACTTGAAAGTGCTCCCTGCTCTCCAGGCGGGCTCCTGACTTCAAGATGGACAAAACAAAGAATTTGAAAGCTAAAATTTAAATTGTACTCCCTTGTTCTCCAGGCGGGCTCCTGACTGCTGCGCTTGAAAGTATTCCTTGCTCTCCAGGCGGGCTCCTGACTTCAAGATGGACAAAACAAAGAATTTGAAAGCTAAAACTTAAATTATACTCCCTTGTTCTCCAGGAGGGCTCCTGACTGCTGTGCTTGAAAGTATTCCCTACTCTCCAGGCGGGCTCCTGACTGCTGAACTTGAATGTCTTCTCCTTGTTCTCCAAGCGGGTACCTGATTTCAACAACATAGACAAGAACAAAGAAAAATTTTCTGCCCCAGTTTGGTAACTGGGCACATATGTGAGTGTTAAACTGAATCATATTACCAAATACTACTAAGAATTTGAAAGTTAGGTCCCATTATGCAGGGGGGTCCTGACAACTCTTAACTAAATGACAATTTTAAATCTAAGTTATATCTTCTACAGGTGTGACTTCTACTAAATCTTGTTATCTAAGAGAATCTTTAAACTACTTCCCATTATCCAAGAGGGTCTTGAAAATCAAATGTCAAATTTAATCTTAAGGGTGACAACTTTCATGCCTGAATTATACTACCCTACAGCAGAGTTTACGCTAAATATTGTTATCTAATCGAAATATTAAAGCTAAGTCCCATTATTCATGAGGGTCCTGAAAACTCCTAATTGAATCCTATCTCGAACATTCAAACTTCTAAGCCAACTTATATTCCTTTGGGATACATTTATGCTAGATTATGCTATTTCTGAACTTTAAACTAGGTCCCATTTTCCAGGAGGGTCCTGAAAATCAAAAATCAAACCTGTTTGGTGACTGCCTTTCTCCACAGAGGGTTTCATCGAAACAACCGAAATTTCCTGCCCTGTTTCAATCAAAGAAAACAAATCTTGTCAGTTTAAAATGTGGTGGTTGGTTTGTGGCCTTGACTTTGAGGGTGATTGCTCCTTCGCTTCCTATGATAACTGATTTCCATTCGAGGACCTTGCTTTCTTATGGGCTAACCACTTTCTCTGTCATCCTTATCATAGAAAATACCCCTTCTCCATTCAGACCAAATTCCTTTCATCGGTTGCATTGCTCATGAACTGACATTTACCAACCTTTGTGTTTCACCGAAAATACCTTTGATTCGTTCACCCAACACCCTCCATTTATTGCATCGTGCTCTTGTGTTGACATGTACTGGACCTTTGTGTTTCTCGTGAATCCCAAAGCGCGTTAATTTCCATCCACTTAGTATGCATGTTGTTCTTTCCTGACTTAAATCACTGGCCTTGGCCTTAAAGTCTATTGTTCCCTCACTTGTCACGATAACTTTGATTTCTGCTTGGAAGACCTCACTTGTCACTGGTTAACCAATTTCTTTCTTGATCTCATCACAGAGAATACCTTTGACCCATTCACCCAACATCCTCTATCTGTTGCATTGTTCACGAATTGAAATATACCAAACCTTTGTATTTCTTATGGATCCCAAAGCATGTTGATCGTTACCAACTCAGTGCGCTTGTTGTTCTTTCCTAACTTATGCCACTTTGATGTGCTGGCCAGATCCCGTTTTGTGCAATTGGAAAGATGGTGGCAAATTTTGAAGTCATTTCTCACTTATTTTGACCAAATAGACTTAGGAAGAGGAAGTAAACAAGACAAAAGGAACAGAGTAAAGGATAAGGGAAAGAGATGATTACTAACAAGAAAACTACAAAGTAGAAACCTATCAGATGTGGATGCCAACTCTAATGATCATGACATGCACCTATAGCCTATTCTGTTGAGCAAGTCTGATGTTCAACTCCTGTTATACCCCTAAGCCGTGAAACTGGGCTTCTATGCTCCGATTATCCAATCTGATTCACAATCCTTATTCGACTTGTAGTTCCCGAAGGGTTTTCACCATCAAGCCTCTCTCATTTTGTTCTTTCTCTCACCTTACCGTCGCCTTACGGTGCCCGCGAGGGTTTTCACCAATAAGACTCTCTCCTTTTCATTATATTTCTGCTTATACTAGAGTGTTGCCCCCGATATGAATTACCTCTCCTTTCTTGACTCGACATTTAATGAAGATTGATCGGAAGGTCTTTCTTTGGACCGTAACGTGGACTTTTGGATAGGTTAAAAAGAAAGGATATCAAAGGCTCAAAACAATTCAAATGGGTTAGAATTACAACTTTCGAAATCAGCTTTCTCACAACAACCACAACTTCTGCCCCAGTTGCTTGCATGGGAACTTTTGGATTTTTATTTTGATGGGACCGAACCGTGAGGCTGCCTACGTATCCTTAAAAGGAATCAGGTCGAACGTAGTTCATGACATAGGAATTGCTCTGTTGTTGTGATTTTTCTTTTCTCTTTCTCTCTTCTTTTCTTTTCTTTCTTCCTTTTCCTCTTTTTGTTGATTTATTGTTTTTTTCCTTTCTTCTTTATCCTTTTTTTTCTTTTTTTCTTTTTTTTTCAATTTCGTTTTTTTCTTCTCTCCCTTTTCATTCTTTTCTTTTCTCCTTTTCCTTTACTTATCTTTCACGCTTGTGTTTCTGATCTTTGCTACTGATTCCGAAAAAGGGGTATGAAAGAAAATAAATGAGGCTCAAAGGGGTAACGAAGGATAAAGTGTTTAGATAGCAGAACGAAATGCCTTCGTCATTCCAATCTTCCAAACATGCTAAGTACAAACAACACAATTAAAAAAACCAAGGAAAACATTCGTAACATCTTTTGATTGCGCCAGACTTGATGACCATATCCACACATTCGCCTTCTATATCTGTTACATACAAAACACCATTGGACAACATTCTCACTCTCATTACCACGAACGGCCCCTTACAAATTTGGGGCAAACTTGCCATTATCTTCTCCTGATGCAGCATGATGCATTTCAACAGTGTATTTTTTTGTTCTACCTGCTCCAGTTTCACACAATTCTGGCTTGAAGTGATCTCAAAATGCCTTTACTTATTTCCCTCAAATGTCCTTACATCTTCAACATTGTTTCATTCATTGCTTCATGACTAAACTGACTTTTAAAACCATGCTGAGAATTACGCGTGCATGTCATATTACTAGAGTCAACAGGAAAAAAACTATAAAAGAAAATAGAACTAAACGAAAATGACTAGAAATCACAGAAAACAGAAAATTGCATTAGACAGATGGTGAAAGGGTTTGGACAACAAAACAAACAAACTAAACTGGGGCTACAAACCTAGAACAAACCTAGACAACACTAAACAGGCTACTAGACTAAACAAACTAGGCAAAATAAGAGGATATAAGGGTTTGAGTCACAAGACAATATCTGGATTACAACCCTGAAATAACCCTGACAACAGAAATGACAACAAAATAAACCACCAAAACTCCTCCCTGGCTAACTAAGATAGGAGCGTCTTTCCAAATGCCAAGCTCGGCATCTTAGCCACTGAATTTTGCATCAACATTACTATGACCTTCACAAACTTCCATCACATCGTTCTTAATAAATTGATTTTAGGTTCCCTTTGCTGGCTCGTTCTTAAGATCAACCTCTGATAGCACTGAAAACTTTGCAGCGCGTGGGCCTTCGAGGATCTCAGAAGAATTTTCATATTCCTTTTCAAAACAAATCATACTCACCATATGCGTCTCAGGCGATGGACTTTGGCTAGTGTCTGCTGTATCTGGATTTTGCACGACAATGTCACCTGCATCAATAAGCTTCTGAATTGCTTTCTTCAGATTCCAACACTTTTCTATGTCATGCCCCAGGGCATATGAGCAATATGCGCACCTTTGAGAAAAATTAAACTTCTTTGGAAGTGGGTTTGGCATTTTTATCTGGATTGGCTTCAACATGTTGAATTGCTTCAACTTTTGGAACAAGCTGGCATACGACACTCCCAATGGGGTGAAAGCCTTTTATTTTTTCAGCAACCTCTCATTCTTAAATGCTTGATTGGGCCGGAAACCTGATCCAGGGGGTTTTCGATAGGCTTGTGGGGGTGGATAGTCATTTTGTGGAGCTGGGGACTGAGAGAGTGATGTACCATTTTGGGAATTCCATGGAGAGAAATGGCATTGGGAAGGATCATCTAGTGCATCAGGATATCCATGGGGACGATGTCGAGGCTGGAAGTGTTGATCGGGAAAGCCCATCGGGTCATCTTTTTTGTTTCTCTTTCTTCC